GGGGGGGGGCTGGCCAGAGGCCAATGTTAGCGCTTTGACCTCCGCCGATTCTAGCGTATTGATCACGTCAGCTCTTTGTACACTTTGCTTGCACAGCGGTATGGAATGCCAGTTGGCTTGGACAGGTACCCTTCCTCAGTTCCCACTGTAGGATTTATGAGCATGGGAGTCAACAGCTACGGGATGAGGAAATGAGACCCTCTGATTGGGGACTGGGTACATGCAAATAAATGGACAGATTTCTGCAGCAGCCCTTCTTAGCTGGCTCTCTGGACTATTTTTAGGAGCAATCGCTGTTGGCGGTGGTCGCGGGGTCTTAGTGAAGCCGCCTTGGCAACACAGTGGCCAGTCACATGAGGCTGACTGCATATAGGCACGTAATCCAGCCATACCTGTATCAATGCACTCTAGGGTTGCCAGCTACTGTTTGGGAAATTTGCGGAGATTTGGGAGGGGTGGAGTCTGGGGAGGGAAGGGATTTCAGCAGGGTATCGTGCCTGCTTTTGGAGCTGCGTGTGGAGTATTCCATGTGCATGCATGTCCAAAGACAGACAAATTCTCCCCCCCCCCCTCCACACACACACTGTTTTGTCTTGGGAAGGCAGCAGCCTCTTCTTCGTCAACACTGTCATCCTGGGTCCAATCAGGCTCCTGGGGAACTCCAAAAATGCCTTTCCCCGCTGCTGCTGTGTGACTGCAAGAAATGCGAGTTGGGTGACTAGGACCCATTTCATCCAGAAATGCAACATAACATGTGATTTGGGCGAGGACATTAATTTGGGCTAGGACGGCACAGTCCGGCCTGTCTCTGGGAAGTTCTTCCATTTCTTGCTTTCTGCCTGGCCTCCTCTATACCATTCCAACACCCAAACTGTTATGTTCTCATAAATGTCATGCCTGCTGGGGTCTGCCCCTGTTCCTTGGATGCAGCAGCCACCCGTCAGTCTCCACGTTGTGTTGCCCTGACCCGGGTAGCCCAGGCAAGCCCAGTCTTGTCAGATCTCAGAAGCTAAGCAGGGTCGATCCTGGCAAGTACTCGGCTGGGAGACTTCCAAGGAATACCAGGGCTGGGACACAGAGACAGGCAATAGCCAGCCACCTCTCTGAAATGTCCAAGCCCCACTAGGGGTCTCTAGAAGTCAGCCGTGTCTTCCAGGCGCACACGCAAATACACACACCCCTCCACTTTGTGTCTCTGCCAAGTCTTCCTTTGGAGCGTGAGATTTTGCCCTGCCTTTTACCCTTGCGACTGAATTGCTACTGTGCAGTCCCGAGCCAAGTGATTTCGCAGGCCTTTCTGTTCACCGCATGTGCTGTGAGTTTGCTTTTCTGAAAGTACCTTTTAGTAGGGCAGAGCTGCAGCGTGACGAGCGGAAGACACAACCCTCTCGCTTTGGATTAATTGCAGTATACAGACCATTTTTGCTAATCCATGCGTTTTGTGCAAGGGATCCTGCGGAGTTCCACCGTGTAGTCTCTCTTTCCTCTAGAA